TTAAAAGATTGATGATAAAATGAGTAACTAGTAAAATCAGCCAAGTCTTCGATTTAGTCGAAGTTTAATACTACTGTCTCCCTTTCTCTCTATTTTCATCTAACTTTGAATATCGATACATCAATATTAAAGATTAATAAATATAATTATTTACTCGTCATAACCTTATCCTAAACCATTTTTAATGATACAAACAGTATACGATAAATAATGTTTAAAATCGCCTTTCTATGCGATTCTCATCAATTTAAGTAATGCCAGCAAGTGGTACAGAAAAGAACTAGAAAATATACAGTGAGCGGCAGATAAAGATACATTTAAAGAGAGAGGGAGAGTAAATAACTGGGAAACCGATTGATAGGAAGCAGGGCTTAAACAGAGAGAGAGAGAAAGAAACTTAAACTTATATCTATCACATCCGTTCTCTATGTTTAAAATAAAATTTAAGTCTCTTCAAGGACTAATCTGTAATGCCAAATGTCCTTTAAAAAACTTCAATTATTTTATAATAATAAACATACAAATTATTTACAGATCGCTACGCATTTCCACGCCACATTCCGATTCGGCGTGCAGCAGCTCAGCCGAATCCTCGGACTGTGAGAGCACCACACATCATCATCATCATCACCATCATAATTTCAATGAAGCGCCCGTGGAGATAATACCCGGTCTCTTTCTAGGCAATGCCTCCCACAGCTGCGATTCGAATGCTTTGCAAAAGTACAACATTAAGGTAGGTTCCATAAATTTCATCAGGTCCAACATCGAAAATAATTTCTATTTGCGTTTCAGTACGTGTTGAATGTGACACCAGATTTGCCGAATGAGTTTGAGGAATCGGGCATTATCAAGTATCTGCAAATACCCATAACCGATCACTATTCCCAGGATCTGGCCATGCATTTTCCAGCTGCCATACATTTTATAGGTGCGTACATAAATATACATAAATTCTGATTAGCTTATGCTTATAATTCTCATATTGTTTACAGAGGAAGCGCGCTCTGCTAATTCGGCGGTGCTGGTCCACTGCCTGGCGGGCGTCTCACGCTCCGTAACGGTGACGCTCGCCTATTTGATGCACACAAGGGCGCTCAGTCTGAACGATGCCTTCATGCTGGTCCGCGCCCGCAAGCCGGACGTTTCGCCGAATTTCCATTTCATGCAGCAGCTGCAGTCCTTTGAGAGCCAGCTCCGTCTGAGTCCCTGCGATGGCCAGGCCATGGATGAGGGCGGCAGCGTCAATATCATTGGACCAACCGCTGGCTGCTCCTCGGCCACGGCGCTAACTGCCAATCCCAGCCTGGTTGCACGCTGCGGTCGTGGCTCAAAATTCTCATGCAATTGCATTGCCCCCGACTGCAAGTGCATGCAAACGGGCGGCTTTATGGCCGCGCATCTGGCCAAGGCGACCGGCGTCTCACCCGATTCGGGTATTGAGTTCGATCGCTGGACGCCATCGTCGGATACGGGTCTCAAATGAGATCAGTGTGTGGGAAAGAGTTTTGTTCTGCCGCCCAGTCAATGTCAGGATTCAACAACAACAACAACAACATCATCATCATCGGCGGCGGCGGCGGCCAGTTCGCCGCCACCCATGGGCCTGACATGCAACAATGCGGACAACATGTCACCAGCCAGCACCACCAGTTCATCCACGTCGACAACAACCACAGCCGAGGCTGTTTCAGTTGTTGAGCTGGTGCCTGCCAGCGCTGTGGATTCCAACAGTGAGTAGTCGCAGTATCTGGATACGGTCTAGTAGAAGCAAAACTCATTTTCCTACTTTGGTTGTCGAATACACACAGACCTAATAAAGAAAAGAAACACACACACTTATCTATGAAAAATAAAATATAATCTAATTATAATAATAAAATATAATTTCTAGTTAATTTTGTAAGTCTAACAAAAAGAAAGAAAGAAAACAAAACAAAACAAAACAAATACAAAAATGTTGAAAAGCTACAAAAATATAAAGAAAATGAAAATATTTGAAAATTATTCACACAACCACTAAAAAAACATATATAAAATATATTTATATATAATGTATACATACTTATATGAAAAAAAGAAAACCTTATGTACATGTTTGTATTTAACTCGTAAGCCAAGTCAAAACAAGTTGAATATAAAAAAAAAAAATAACTTAATCATAATAAAAAGAAAAACACGAAACGCGTTATTTATAAAGTTTAAACTTAAACAACAACAAAAATCTGTTTTTATGCGCATGGCTTTTTTTTTAATTTTACTAAAACCAACGTTTACAAATTACATAAATGTATAATTGTTATATACACGTAAATAAGAATACAATTTATAAAATATATTCTATAATACAAATACGGGAAGCCAAGTCAAATGTTACAAAAAAGAAAATAACATAATTTGAAATTGGCAATGAATCGAAAAACTACAAGCGAAATATTAAACACTAAAATGAGAAATAAACTAAAAAGAAAACCAATATTTTTTTTGCTTAAAGCAACAAATACCAAAAACAGCAGCAAAAATAGTAGCAGCAACTTATTGTTGTTGGGCTTGGTTATTTTTGCAAAGGTTTTAGAGGTGAGAATTGGCAGCCCTTCACCCAAAAAAATAAACAAATAATTAAAAATATAAACAGAATTAAAAGAAGCTAAAGAGCCGCAAGGCAGGCCTAATTAACGGTGCGTGCGGCTCTTTTTTTTAATTTTGAACTAGCTTTTAAGAGTTTTTAAACAAAACAACAACAAATTGAAAATGATATTCTAAATACGCTGAAATGTGCAAAAGTCGAAGAACTCAGAAGTCAAAAGGCAAAGGATTCTTATGTGCATGAACTATATACTAGTTATATAGCTAGTTATATATGTATATGCAGTCGGGCAATGTTGGTACAAAATATGATCAGGTGGCGTCATCGCGAAGAACGGTTTACAAACATAACCAATAACACAAATAAATATTTATATATATATGAACAATAAATATACACATATATGAAACACTCAAAGAAAAGAAAAAGAAGATGAAAAAACAAACAGAAATATTTCGAAAAAGGCTGTGCGCAAAATAGAAAACAAGAATCAAAGCATATATAATATATATGTGGTTTTAAAGGAAACAAAACCATTAAACTAAGTGCAAATGAAACGAAAAACCGGTTAGCTGATATACGCTATATTCATATATGGCTAAAGATAGAGAATACAACTAAAGTTCGGCCTGTGCCGAGTCAAGTTTTGTTAACTTTCAAGATGACCCAACGCGACCATTAATTGGGTAATTAAAATTGAAATAATTGCGTACATGCTTGAAATGCCAAAAGAAACGTAAAAGATATAATGTTTGTACAGAATCTCTTAAAAATAAAATGCGTATCAGTTGGCATAAGAAAAGTATTGGTAAGTTCATTAATCTGGCGAGATAGAAATAATGAAACGGATCCGCCTGAATTAACATCTCGAATCTGTTAAAATTAATTCATATACGCTGGCACGCTTTTATGGAGAGCTGTCTGTTATGTTAAAGTGCTGTTAAACTGCTAACAGAGCAAGGATAAGGCGTTGATAATATGGTTATATGATACATATTAAATATAGTTCTATTATAAAGGAACTATTTGAATTGTACTATTGATTGTTTTGCTTTAAATGCAGATCTATAGATTTGTAGATCTATAAGCGAACGAATTCAAAACATTCATTCAACAGATTCCTTAAAAAGTTCATGACAAAACAGGCTGATATTTAAATTAAAGAAGTGAAGTATGTTAAAGTCCTTAAATGAATCTTATGTGCGAGTTTGTAAAGGCAGCTAAGACGGAAAGAGTTCCTCCACTGTAAGTCGAAAGATTGCACATCGTTTGCCGTATATACCTTACGATATTGGGACAAGGCCCAACAAAAATACATAAACCAATTTAATAATTAAATTTGCAATAATTTTTAAGCGCAATCCAAGCCATTTAATTGTTGAATGCCTCAGTCAGTTAATAAAAAAACAAAAAAAATACAATGGCAAAAAAAAAAAAACGAAAACGATTTTAAAAATACATTTTAAAGTCCCAAAAGGATATTTTCGTGTGTCGACAATTTTGCAAAGTTCATAATTATTGATAAATATTAATAAATGTTTGCTGATTAAACGGCACTCACTAAAAAAAAACCCACACAAATATTGAAAAAATAAAAAATTTGTATATGCGACAAATATATAAAATCGAAATTGGCTGCCAGGCAGCGCGTTTGTTAATGAGTCCTCCAAAGGTATGAGGTCTCGACAGCTGAGCGAGAGTTCGTTTTTAAAGTTAAGTAACACACAATTTTACATATTGTACATCTGAGTGTTGAATTTTTCATCAATGTTTAGTATTTTGCGACAGTGCCAACATTTTAAAACAAATAACTATAAAAAAATCAATTCAAACTGTACCTTGAAAATGTCCAAAAAAAAAACAAAAAAAAAACATAAAAGATATTTAAATTATAAATTTAAACGTAATATGGCGAAAATAAATATTTCGAACATTCGTTGTAGTACAAGAGCACAAACTATGAGTAAATGCCCGATAAATAGTCGAACAATAAATACGAAAGTCTCCACGTAATTAACCAAGAATAAAATCGAAAATAATCGAACTAGTTGTGTTTTGCACATTTTGTATATTTTACAACACAATTCAATAAAAAAAAAGAATCCGCGAAAAATTTGCTAATTACGATATATATATAGGGATATATACATACCATATATATATATATCTTTATCTATATACACGATACAAACCATATACCTAATAAAACCGTTTATAAGCCCGCAGCTCAAGCGATCTTTTAATCAATTTCTATTTGAATTTATATTTTTAATCATTTTTCTAAATGTCAGAGAAACATTTTTAAAACGAAGATTATATAGACCTTTAAATGCTTCAACTAAATTTTACGATGATTATTTCAGTGCAGAAAGATTTGAAAGTTTGTGAAACTCATAAAATAACGCATTTCATATTTAGGGGCCTAATGATAGGCATTTGCAATAGATTTTATTTGTTTTCGAATGAAATATTATAATACTTTCGTATAAACTGAGTAGAAAATCAGGTAGAAAATGATTTATGCTATGCAAATTACACAAACACTGTCGAAAAACTTATAATTTTGAAACAAGGGACAAGGGACTCATAATATGATATATACTTTTATGATGTGACATAGAACAAGGAACAATGCGTTGCGCGTTTCTGTAAATGCCCAAACGATGATGACAAGCAATACTTAAGATTTTATTGTCTAAGCGTCGAGCTGACGATTGCCAGGTCCTGCTTACAGACCCTTGTTGAAGTAGACACGATCGGGTACCTTGCCCGCAGTACGGTTGACCATGTCTTTAAAGAGTCCCGGCTCAAAGTTGCGCATTGTAGAGGTGCTCAGACTGCATTCTTGCGGGAAAATCGCACAGGCTGCGGGCACCATGAAACAGAGGCTGCAAGTGGCAAGGCAACATTAGTTTCCACAACAAAATTAAGGGCATGCCGTACGAGTCACTTACAAGCAGCCCACCATTAGTGTTTGGAAGGGCGCATTTATCCATTTCATGCGCTTGTATGCTGGCATCTTCTCCAGTCGCTGCATAATGATGGGCAGCAACAACATGCCCGGCGCTGCCATTACAATTCTCGATGTGATCACCTGGCTGATACCTTTAACGGCAGCCAGGCGACTCTGGCCGACAACCTTACCGTCGTCATTCTTCACCTCAATGCCACTGATAATCTCGTTCTGGCGCATAAAGGGAATATTGACTAAGTTGCCTGCCGCCAGAGCCGCAAACGGCACATAACGTTGCATCAACGGTGACGCATGTTTCGACCAGTAATTCTTGCATCCAATGGCTGCAACCAATGCTGCGGTTGTGGCTGTGACAAAAGACAGGCCCAGCTGCGTAACACTGGTCGGTGAATTGGCATTACGATTCGTATAGTTGACGACCGCATTGAAGGACTGATTGATGAACTGCCAGAGCACCACGGCGGACACGGTGCGATAGAAGGCCAACATGCCACCCGTAATCAGCATGCCCCCGGGTACCTAAAAAGAAGAAACATCACAGCATCAGTTGGCAAAGAAACTTGTACAAATGACGTCAACATTGGGCTATATATATAACTATAGAGGGAGAATGCAACAGAGACTGCAGCTGACTGACACGCGACTTGCCTGAAAACTCATGCGGCCGGCAAAGTTCTGCAGTTCCCCTGAATCTGGATGAAACGCCGAAGTATATAGCTTCAAATTATATTTCACTTCCTCAGGTGTTAGATTGTCCTTCTGCTTGCCAGCCCGATAATTGTCCACCATTTTCTTGGCCTCCATCAGGCGCTCTTTGGACACGAGCGCCGTGCGCGGATCCGTCATCCAGGCATAGTACTTAAAGCGACCCGTGAACGTCTTCAGATCGAACAGACGATTCACATCGATCATTGCTGCAATAACAAAGCGTTAACAAAGGCAGTTAAAGGTAATTTTTTAAACCAAAAACTCACATAATTTGTCCGACATGTTGTTAGCCTTGGAACTGCGTCGGATTCTTTTAGTTACGTAAGCGGCAGACGATTTGATGCCCCAATTAAGGCTGATATCCTATCTATATAGCTGCCGGCCAGAATACACTTCAGTTATGTGTACTTAGGGCCGAGTCTTTGTGTCTGTGCGATTAATTGCGAGCAGGTGTTACGTTCTCACCTGCCTGTTCGAAATTCTCTGCTGTCTAATGCAGTTCAATTCTGCAGTTGTTGTTTTGGCGCAGCTCCAATAAATGGCGTTTGGCAACGAGATTGCGCATCTGGTGGTCATTACACAATTGAGTAATTAATTGGTCAGCTTTTGCTCTTATATACATACATATATATTTCTATATACGCGCACACACACTAACCTATTACCCTTAATTCGCTGTTGCAATTTATTTTATTTGTATGCTATTAATTTTGTTTACTCTTTGTCCAACGATTAGCTTCATAAATATCGATATACCGTATTATAAGGACCAAAATCGCATTGTTTAAATAAAATTTTCTAAACGGCAAATTTTTTGTGATATTTATACATATTGACAGTTAATCTATTGTTTTGTATTTGTATCAAAATAAGTGCTATGCATCTGGTTTATTTTGAAAGCTATGCATACATTTGCACAAATCATGTACCTATTTTGCTGTTGGCAAGTATTTATATTTGCAGCGATTGTGATTCACTATCATATGTATATCCAATTGCATCGGACGCCTGCCCTACACAACAAATGTTTTGTATGCTGATTAACGGCTTAAAATTGGCAACTGCGAATCAGCTGTGCGTATATACAATTTAATTATCGATTCATTGTTTGCTTATTTCATATCGATTACGCATGATTTTGCCATTCACATGTTGCAGTCGCACGCATCTCTGCAGCCCTGGCATAATCGTGTTCATATTGTTATTGTAGCTGTTCTTTTCACTTTCGTTGCGCATTTTGTACACAAGTTTCGTGATATTTAACTAATTTGCATTAATTAACGAAGCGCTTAAGCGCAATGTAGGATTGTGTAAGATTAAAGTGCAAGAGTAGCAAAAATGAAGTCTTGGTGCAGCGGCAGCAGCAACATCAACAGATAATAATAGCATCTAGGCAGCGGCACGACGCAAGGTAAGGAAGTGGCTGCAAACCGGAAAATTAAAACTGGTCCGGGGCCGAGGACACTGAGGTTCATTGCACTCAGCGATGCGTATGCTGCAGCTGTTGTCGCTTTGGCTGCTCTGCAGCCATGCAACAGCCGCCAATATCCTGGCCGTGATGCCCAGCGTCTGGAGATCACATTATCTATTTGGACGTCGGTTAATGCAGCAACTGGTGGCAGGTCCGCAGAACCACTCAGTTACGCTGATAAGCCCGCATGCAAGGGGCGAGACTGATGTGGCGGCACCGCTCTACAAAATACGTGAGATACGCATCGAGGATCAGGATCTCATGCAGAACTGGTTGGACATGGGCATGAGCTTCGAGGCGGAGCAGATGCACGCCCAAAGCGTCATGGAACGCTTCACCCGTATGATCTATGCGGGCACCACAAATGTGGATCTCCTGCTATCGGATGCGCGGGTGCAGAAACTGCTCACCAGCGGCGAAAAATTCGATTTGCTAATCGTGGACTTGTTCTTAAGTGATGCATTGCTTGGGTAAGTACGCAGCAGAGCAGGAACATATCGTACGGCAGAGTGTGTCTAATTTGAATCATTACTGTTCTTTTAGTTTTGCCTATTACTATGGTGTGCCCACCGTTGCCATCAGTCCCACCGGTGCCAATTCGTGGCTCAACAACATGTTTGGCAATCCGCAATCTGCCTCCCTGGACCCGAGTAACTTTTTACCCTTTACGGAGCGCATGAGTACACGGGAACGCATTGCAAACACTCTGATGAGCACCTTTGAGCGCTTGACCTACAAGTGAGTGCACGATTTTACCTATTTAAAAGCTGAACTCATATCCTCAATTTCCTTGCAGCTTTTTCCATCTGATCTCACAGCAATCGGTTTACTCCAATCACTTTGAGGTGCTGGTGAATGAGCTGCCGAATTATCGCGAATTGAGCAAGAATTTGAGCCTCGCGCTGATTAACTCCCATCCCGCTATGGATTACCCTCGCGCCTACTTGCCAAATATGTTGGAAGTGGGCGGACTACATTTGCTGGAGCCACAACAGCTACAAGTGCCAAATGTAATTGAAGGCGTTTTAAGAGACTGTTTCGATACTAATCCCAGTTTTTATTTAGCATGTGCGTTCCTTTATGGAGGCCGCGCCTGGCGGCGTCATTTATATGAGTCTGGGTGCTGAAGTGCAAACAGCTCAGTTGCCCAGTGAGAAGTTGTCGTCATTGCTGGACGTCTTTACGCACCTCAGGGAATTTCATTTTCTGCTGAAATGGGAGACGGAAGAGTTTATACAGCCGCTACCCGATAATATTATGATAAACAGCTGGTGGCCCCAGGAGGCAATATTGGGTAAGCTTAACCTTTTAATAGCTTTGTTATTTTGTCTCGAAATGAGTAAGACATAGATGAAGAAGTCTTCGAATCTAAGATAGCATAATCTTGATCACTATCAACAGCCTAGTACGTCCGTCTGTTTCTTTGCAAACTAATCTCTCAGTTTTAATGCGACAGTTGGGCAGGCATATAATATAGCTGTCATAGAAATAATACGTCAAAAATTAAGTTATTGTACAATAAGTATTGTAGTTGCTTAAGAGATTTTTATAAAATTTAGTATTTGCGGGGTTTTCTTAAAAGCCCATTGGAGTGCCTAATGGTGTAGGAAGTGGAGAGGAAATAAGTGGCGGTTTTTCTATGATCTCTGTAACCAACCCTTGGACCCAACTAGAACAGCCTGATAGCTCAGTGGTGCTCAGTTTTACCAGAAATCGGGCCATGTTTCTCACGAATGCAGGATTTTCACACAGGAGATGTTAGATTCTCTCTGTGTCCTCTTTATGTCCACAACTACGACAGTATTCAGGGTAAGGAACCTGCCTCCACTGTGCCACACGGCCGTGTCTGCAGTGCCCCGTTATGGCTGCTGTTAATACCCGGAGTTCATACCACGCTCCTTACATATGATGAAAAACTCATCAACGGACTACTGTATCATATAGCTATTATATAAAGGAGGATTGTCGAAAAATCTTATTTTGTATGGATAACTCTTGGGGCTTAATGAGTTTTTTACGAGCTACACTATTCCCTTAACATATCTTCAAACCCCTATCAAATTGGACTACTATATTACACGGATATAATAGGAAGATTCGGATGGAAATCAGCTTTTGTTTTTCTACAAGGATGTTTAATCTTCATATTATATTTGATGTCCTCTCTTGAACTTATTTGCCTTGCAGCGCATCCACAGGTCAAGCTATTTATCAGCAGCTGCGGCCAGCTGAGCGTTTGGGAGTCCATTGCGGGTGATACGCCCATACTTGCCATACCCATATTGGCGGAGCAGGAGGTGCTGGCCAAGCGGCTGCAGCAGAAGGGCGCAGCGCTAATAGTCGACTACGATGCTATTGCTTATGATGCACTGCTTCACAGCATACGGCAACTAACGCTCAATGTGAGTTATGTGCAGCATGTGGCCAGGCTGAAGGCGCGGTTAAACGTTGGAAACTCGGAGGCTTCCGCTAGAGCGCTCGGCTACATTGAGTTGATATTGGGCACAGGCGGTGCGGATTTTCTCAAATCGCACGCAAACTCTCTCAACTTTTGGCGTACCGAAGGCTTGGATGTGTTACTGCTTATTGCGCTGGGCATTTTTGGCATTTTGACTGTTCCGTTCGTGGCCACTTGCTGCATACTGCGCAGATCCTACTACAGCCAGGCGGCGCAGGATCAACAGCAGCAACCGTATCGCACCATGCTCAAGGCCGTGGGTCGTATGCACAGCTACGGGAATCCCAGCAGCTGCACTACTGCCGGCACATCGGAGCCGTTGAGGAGGACGCGTTCGGCCCAATCGCTATCGGCTCGCTCCAGTTGCTCCAGCTTCAGTTCGGCAACACCGTCTAGCAATTCGTCGAGCAATTCGACAACCCCGCTCGATCTGACACCACCGCCGCCGTCTGCCACAGTCGTGCCCTCCCTGCGGCTGTACGTCAACCAGGGAGTTTATGCAACACAAAAGACATCACATGATGAGAGGATGGAAAAAGCGTTTTTATAGCCATGCGGATAGTTATTAGCCTGGCTTAACGATATATCTCTAGTTTTCACACCTTATCACTATGCAAACATATATACTTCTATATATATACATATATAAGAAGGATATGTTTTTATCTAATATCTCGTATATCTAATAATTTAGGAATGATTTTATGTATCTGTATTGGGTTGTGTTCCCGGATATTGTTTTTATGTTATATTACAAAAATAGTTCACATACTTAGAACGTAGCCGTGATACGACTTTAGAAATTATTTTGTGTGTTTTTAAGGTGTTAAGTGTGTTGTCCGACTCTATATAACAACAGTTAAAACTGACGTTAATTATTTTTTTTATTGGTATGATTTTTAATGCAATTAAAATTCGTTTAACGAAAATTTTAGCCAATCGATCATGTCCATGGTTAGGGAGCGGGGGGAAGGATCAAAGATTTACTAAAATTAAATATTTGTAATCATTTTGGCTGAGCGATTTGTATATTTTTTAATAGTTATATAACTTAAGCTATCTTCAAAATATTATATATATTTGCAAATGAAATGATTATGGTGTGTGTTCAACTTTTATGTAGGGAACTACTTGTATTTCTTCTTTTATTGAATACTTAAATATTTATGTTCCTGTTAAAATTGCTGACAGGAGGTTTAATTAAGTTTGGTTTGTAATTCCCTGAAGGAATATTGAAATTGTGCAACATTGTGGCAACGCTGCGCCGCTAAGTAGGCAACAGCTTTTCATAAAGTTCCAATTTTTTTGGTGTGGCAACTCTGTAACTAGTTATTTTATTTAGTCAGATTTTATTATAGCCTTGCATAGGGTATTATAATTTTGTCTAGAAATGTGTAACGCATAGAAGAAGACATTTAGTATATATATTCTTGATCAGTATCAACAGCCGAGTCCGTCTGTCCGTGTTTTCGTCCGTCCTTCTGTCTGTTTCTATGCGCACTTGTCTCTCAATTTTAAAGCTATCATCATGCAACTTTGCACATGTACCTCTTTCTGTTGCACGCAGTACATATGTTGGGACGGGCCCTATTAGACCACTATATCAAATAGCTGCCATAGGAACGATCGGTCGAAAAGTAGGTTCTTGTATGAAAAACTTTTTTGTTTATCAAGATATTTTGAAAAAACTCTGCATTTATTAGTTTTACTATACTCCCCATATATATGCAAAATTTTATCAACATCGGGCTTCTATATCATATAGCTGTCCTAAGAACGATCGGTCGAAAATTAAGTTTTTCTATGGAAAACTTTTTTGTTTTTCAAGATATGTTGACCAAACTCCGCATTTATAAGTTTCACTATGCTTCCTATATTAATGCAAAATCTTGTGTACATAGGACCACTATATCATACAGCTGTTATAGGAACGATCGAAAATTAGGTTCTTATATGACTTTTTTTTTGTTTTTTAAGATATCTGAACCTTTCTCGGCATTAACCATTTTCCCTGTGCCTCTTAAATACGAGCAAAGCATTATGTGCATTATGAAAAGGTTCGGTCTGCAAGGGTATCAAATCTTCGGCGTGCCGATAGCCCTTCTATCTCGTTTAAATTCAATTTGCTTACACGAATTTAGTTTAAAGACATGTTCAAGCTTGTTTTAGGTTTCAATTCTGATCATTATTTTCGAAATCGATACTGATTGGTGTTCTTTGTTTTGATTTCTATCAATATGTAGTTGTTTTCGAAAGTGTTTACTTTGCATTGTCGGTATGAAAAGTAATTGACAAAATAAAACAAAATGTACGTGTTTCTTTTCAACAATATAATTGTATTTTAATATTCATTGTATTGAAAAATTTTCACTGTAGTTACCTTATGTCATGTAGGCGCACGTTAAGACGGGGTTTGGGGAAATTCCACCCGCAAGTGTGGAAAAATCGCGAAAAACGTTTGTATGTAACTTTTTTGATAACCATCCAATCGGCTTCAAACTTATTTTCAAAGAAATTTGTTCAAATTCATTTGAGGGGTGTTTCACACTTTTAGGAAAATCCATTCCTCCTTGGTGGAAATTTCCAGAGATCTATAAGAAAAGATAGAAAGAAAGAAAGATTTTTTGGGCGATGTCTTAAGTTGTATCCGATTTGCTTCAAACTTATTTTCAAAGCTCTACATAAGAACTTAATAGATACGTAATTCAGCGATTTGGGAAATTCCACCCGTAACAGTGGTAAATTGGCGGAAAACGTTTGTATGAAAGTTGTTTGTTAACCGTCCGATCAGTTTCAAAATCATTCTCAAAGCTTTTTGAGAACGTTTATTTTATAACATACGTGCCACGGGCAAGGCCGGGTTGTACCCGCTAGATATATATATATACTCATATATATATATGCATATCAAACTAAGCTGCTTATTCAACTAAACTTAAATAAGACGCCTCTTACTTTAATTAAATATTAAAATTTATTTATATAAAGTAAGACCCGTTGGTTTGCCCACAAAATTAAAGCTGTTTCTAAAGATTTCTTAACCAAACCCATCAAGTGGATCGATTAACGTAACTTTCCGATTCTGACTGCAAGAATGTTCCTATGCATTAATTTTGTTCAACTAATTATGTCTTGCATTAACCGTTCAGGGTCCTCTGTGATGGTTACAACAAGCATTATATAGTGTTCTGCTTGGAGTCTTCTCTTCTTCTTATAAAGTCACATTGCCTCGGGTAATATATTTTTAACTATATCCCATACTGTTTGATAATATTAACATTTTACATAAGCTTTAAGTCGATTGAGGTCAGATTTTGGCAACTTCTTTGTTGGGGCTCAAGCACCAATTAGTTATACAAAGCCCATTAAAAGCGAATAACTTTTATAGGTAGCACCTTGATTTGCTGTATGAAACGAAATTAACATTATTTTTGCCTTTAATTGTTTTTTTTTTTTTAACTTTTGTTATTTCTCTTGTGCAACAAAGCAGAAAAAACCACACCCAGCGGATATTATTAAAAAAAATAAGGAGAGAGACAAAACAGTTTTTGGTAGCATTCAAGTGTGAGTAACAGTTAATGTTAATTATGGGCGGCAAAGCCAATGGAGGCGTGTCTAATTAGCTGCCACAGCGGCGGCGTCTGTCGGCTCGCTTTGATGTGCATGACGGCGTGTGCACTTCATTTAAGCCGAGTGCGCCTCAAGTGTCTCTAAAGGATGTGAATGCCAAGCGATGCGATGCGATGCGATGCGATTCAACGGATGCAGCCAGCGGGCCCCAACTGGGAATAGCTGGCTGCAGAACGGGGTGCAAAGGGTAGCTGCGCCGGCACCTGTTTGCATTCAACATTCAAGCCACGCACAGATACACACACACACACACACACAGTCAGAGAGAGAGGCTGCATATGCTTAAACAAAACCAGGAGCTGAAATTCTGTCGGCAGTATGGGTTTTGGCAGTTGTTTGCCGTTGGCTCTGGCTGGGGAATGTGTGTGGCATCGCATAGAGCAAGCAGCAGCTGGGGCAATTATTCAGTTGGCTTCTCCTTGTTGCATGTTAATAAAAGTGTAATTATGCAGCACGCTTATGTGGCTGGTGCATCTATGGCAAAGGGCTTCGTTTGACTTTTCAACTGCGGCACAGAGTGCACTTTGTGCATTCAGTTTCACTCCCGAAGCCTTTTTGATGCGCATACTTTTGGTTAGACATGGGAAATTTGATATGTAATGCATGGAAAGTTGGACGGCACAGCCTCTACTGGTCACATTCCATAAAATAGGCGGTGTAATATAAATCTTAGCTAGAGATCAAACATGCAGCTCATCTTACGCCGTCAAGCCTATAATATTTGCAGTCAAAGAACTCGCATATTGGCACTCTGAAGGTCGAGCGGACGCACTCGCCAATCTGGCCAAAAGGCGTAGGCTGACGAAAAGCCTGCCAGCCGGGAGCAGCAGCAGCAGGAGCACCATCAGCATGGATGTCATGGATGTCAACCAGAAAAGAAGCAAAGTCGAGTCTTGACTTTGACAGGCCAATGCATTGAAGCGCAGCCGCAGCGGAGAGCTGCCGACATTTTGACATACCAAAGGTCTCGGGTTACCGCTGGGAACACAGATCGAAACCGGGCCCAGGCCCAGGCCCAGGCCCAGGCCAGACCATTAGCGCGGCTGTCAGCTGCCGGCGTTGGTGACAAATGCAAGCGGGTAAGGATTGAAAGGGGCCCAGTGCATCAAAGGCCCATTGACAGCGGCAGTCCTACTGCCCGCCCTCCCTACCTCTCTTCCTCCCTGCCATCTGCAATATGCGCAGCGGCTTGTGGCGCCTTTGAAGTGCAAGCTACAAAATTAATTGCATGCTACATGCAGCCACAGAGGGTGCAACTGTAGAACTTGAGAACTGTAAATCAACAATCATCATAACTATAACTTTTTGCCCCAGACATGGACAACACCGACCGGCTGTACCCTGCCGCACCGCCTGGGAATGCTGTCAACATGTTGCCAGTTCTGCTCGGCTCGCTTCATTCCCTTTCAACACTTTGTAGTTGCAGCACTTGACTTTTGTCAGGCCAAATCCCATGCATATACAGTGTGTGCGTGTGGTGGGTGTGTGTGTGTGGGAGTGTGTGGCCCCTTTGTGTGCAGTTTGCAATTTAATTACTTTTGAGTTATGCAACAAACAACGGCACAAAGTTGGCCAAAACAGTGCAAACAGGACCCTGCAGGACAGCAGGACGGCAGGCAGTACCCAGATTAAATGTGCCCAGCTTCGAATTCAAAATTCATAATTTCCAAATTAAAGTTCATGTTGCGTTAACTTGAGCAGTGTGAGAAATGCAGATACAGTTTGTATCTCGTATCTCTGTATCTGCAAAAACTTTGCCAGCTGTTGTTCACATTTGCATTATCGATCGCTGGACACAGTGTGTGACACACATACACACGCACAATAACAACAACAAAATTTGCATAAATGTTCACAAATTTTAAAAATATATCTATATACATAGCATATTCATACATATACATACATATACATACAAAGTGGCAGCTGTTGCAGCGGCAACAAAAAAGATACAACAAAGTCAGGGGATACATGTGTGAGAAGTTAACCTGAGAACAGCAGAAATCAAATTAAACCATGACTGAGAGTATTACACTAAAAACTACCCTGTACCCAGTTCTAAAGCGACTTACATACATGTATAACTGTTTGCTCTGATTGATTGACTGACTGACTGACTGAGTGCTTGGTGATATACGCACGGTCCAAACCCTCACAGACAGCAGGTGGACTTTCTTTGCTGTAATTACTTTACTCTAAGATATGTTTTTTAGGTATGGTTTTTTGTATATACAGTGAA